GGGGGGGTTGGAGATCTATCTCCAGACGGACAGAAAAGAAAGAGGAGCAAATTAAACACCGAGTTGCCAAAACCAGGATATTAGGTTTCAGCCCAGAGAGCTATTGGCTAAGGCTGTGTTTTTTTTTTGGGGGGGGTGGGTTTGTGGGTGGGTGATGGTGGTGGTGGGTGGATGTTTAATGGACACGGAGAAAAGGGGAATCGAGTGTTTATGCCTTTCCCAGCGCCGCCGGGGCCCCGGGAAGACCAAGTTCAGTGACTGCGGCGGGGCCAGGCCGGGGGCGCCTCGGCGGGGTGGGGGCCCCGGCGCCTTTTTTCTTTTCCGCGGATGCAAATTTCTGGAGCGGGGAGAGGGAGAGCCCGGGAAGGGGGGTGGCGTGGCGGTTGGTGGAGGGGAGGGGAGGGAAGCCTTTTAATGACTCATTGATTGAGCCGGTTTAAAATTAGTTGTGTGCGCGAGTGTGAGTGTGTTTTCCGCCCCCCGGAGCCGCCGGGAGCCGGGAAGGAGGGAGCGGGGCTCGGCGAGGGGAGGACGGCGCGGCGGGGCAGCGAGCTGGGGGCAGGGAGGGCCTGGAGTGACGGCGGGCGAGGAAGAAAAATAAGCTTTTCCAATCTCCTCCCCTCTGTTTTCCCCCCCTCGTTTCTTTTCTCTCTCGCAAGCTCTAGGGTGTGAATCTCATTTTCTTTCTTCTCGGCAAAATGGACCCCGTGTCGGAGGGGGAGGGGACAGGGTGGGGAGGGAGGCGGCGAGGACAGGGTTTATTTTTCATCCCGGCTTCTTCCTTCGTGCCGCATCTTCGGGCGGCCGCGGCGAGGAGAGCTCGGGGCCGGCCGGCCTTCCCAGCCCGGTTCCCGCTCCGGTCCCGGTCCGAGCCTGCGGCGGCGGCGCACACCTGCCCGCGGCACTGCCCCTTCCCAGCCGCCTTGCTGCCTTCCCGACGCACCGCCGAGGATCCGCGGCCGGGGTCGGCCGAGCCCCAGCGCTTCGCGGAGGACCCGCGGCCCAGCCAGGCGCCTCCTGCGAAGCCCGCGCTGTCCGCTGGGCCGGCAGGAAGAGACGGGCGCCGTGGCGGCGCTTTTTTCGCCGAGAATGTGCTGGCCTGACGCCGTTCGCGCCCCCCCGAGTCGCCCCGAATGCGGAATCTTGGGCAGGGGGGGTGCGGTAGGAAGGCGCTAAGATGGCGCTGGGCCTGGCCCGCCGCCAGGGCTGGTGGCGCAGTTGCTCGGCTGGCGCCATCTTCCCTTGCGGCGCGGGCGGCGCCCTCGGTGGACGCCTCGCCGGCCGTGGCGCCGCGGGACCTGGGGCGAGGGGTAGCCGCGCGCGGGGTGCTGAATTCTGTAGATGGGGCCGGGGCCGCCCAGCCTTTTCCCTCCCCACGCCCTTAGACCCTAAAGACGAGGCCGCCGGCTCGGAGCAGAAAGGGCCTGGGGCCGGCCTCTTGCTCCTTCAGGCTTTTTTCGGGGGGAAGACGTGGGCCGGGGGTCGGGCCTCGCGGCAGATGGGTCCCCTCCCTGACCCTGCATCCCCCTGGTCAAAATTGGAGGCGAGGATCCCCTGACATCATCTCTGCTGCGACCTGAGAGTGGATGGCTTTGTCTTCCCTGGCCCGGCATTGAGGCTTTTCCTTCATCCTCTTCCAGTTACTATTGAGAGTAGAGTCAAAATTTTGGTTACAAAATTGAGTCGAGGACAGCGTCTGCCTTCCGGTAACATGGTTCTATGTAGGTGCTCTGAGTTTTTTTAGTTGTATTGTGAAACAACGCTAGAGAGGCATTTATCTAGTCGTCAGATTGTGAGAAGGTGATGGGTTCCAGTGATTTGAAACTTCTTGTGGGCTTTCATATTATTTCACATGGCGGTAAATTAAAACAGTTTTTTAGAACTCTGATCTGAAAAGTTAAACCCCCCTTAAAATACTCGTGAGACTTTTCCTTTCCCTTTCTAAAAAGGATAACTAAATTGTGTTTTCTTAAAAGCATCCGTATAAATATTTATCTGTCTGGTAATAGCTCCGTAGTAGAGATGGGGAAGAGTTAATTTTGTTTTAAATTGTTACCGAAAAGAGGGAAAAGTTTGTAAAGCTCTCATCTCTCTAGGCATCCACAGAGATGGAAAGTAAATAGTTAATTTCTAGTGGATAAAAGTAATAGTGGCACCAGTAGGTGTATCTTTGTGTTTATGAACATAATATAGTGAATATTTCAGATCCTTTAATAAGACTTTCCATACATTGAGCACCTGCTGTATGCTGGGAGCTGTGCTTGGTGCTTTATGTAATTACCGTTTATCATATCAGCCCTACGGTATTGATTTTATTATCTTTTTTACCGGGGAAGGAACTAATGTTAATGACACACTAATTGTTCAAGGTCTTGCAGTTTTAAGTGGTAAAATTGGCATTGGATCCCAAAAGCTGTGTTCTGTGCTCTGTACCTATGGTTCTAAATCTGAGTATCAGAATCAGCTGGGGAGATGTTTTTAAATATAGGTTTGTAACATCACCTCTTTCTCCATTATTTGCTTGGGGTCCTTTAAGAATGTGTTAGGCAATCTCAGTTTTAACCTGTGACTTCCAACTTCTTGATGTCCCTAACTCCTTTCAATATTGAAATTGTGGTCCACCCCCCTAATCTGAATATCTAGCTCTGTCGGTGATTCTGGTGTGGTACAGGCACATTTGGAGTATCTCCTACTACACTATGCACTGTGCTGCTGGCTTTTTTGTTAAATTGGAACATGAGAATTGAGGTCCATATCACTTTGAATTTCAGCACAGTTTTATTGCTCACTTTTTTTTTGTTTGAGTTTTTTTTTTTTGTTTTTTTTGAGACAAGATCTCATCTTGTCACCCAGGCTAGAGTGCAGTCGCATGATCATAGCTCACTGCAGCCTCAAACTCCTGGGCTCTGG